GACACTTCCTATTTACAATCCTTTCTTTATTTTTGTTTAGGAGAAAGAGATTTTTGCTATAGAGCACATACATGCACCATAGAGACAGAAAGACAGACAAAAAGTAAGAAATCACAAACCTACCCCCCCACCAGGGGGATGGTCATGCTGCAATCCCTTCTCCATTTTCCTCTTGGGGTTTTGGGCACACACGCACATGTATCCAGCGTGAGTTTGAAGCCATCAGGTCCAGGACTCAAACCACAATCAACTACATGGGAGTCCAGCAACATAACCATTATACCATCTACTGGTCCTCCACTTTCTTTATTTTTCTCTAAAGCTAACTTATTGTCTAGGTCCCATTGGAAGAGAAAGTTTCTTTTTGTCTGTTTATTCAATATGACCAGGTCTTAAAATAGCACCTAGCAGACCAGCAGTTGGTATGGTGGTTAACATGCTAGATTCCACATGGCCTGCTGCACAGTTCAAGTCTCGGAGCTGGAAGCTTAAAAAACACACCACATGAATGTGTGTACATGACCAGAATCCCAAGAAGAGAATGAAAAGAGAAGATGGTGGTATGGCCATCCCCCTGGGAGGTGATTATTTTCTCTCTCTCTCTCTATTGCTTTCTCTCTCCAGCAAGCACAACCACCCTATACCAAGAAATTTAAAATAAATAAATAAATAATAGTACCTAGCAGATATAGCAGATACTTGGTAAACATTTATTGAAAAAACAAGAATAAATATGAAATTAGTGCATAAAATTGGGGCCAGCAGGTGGTGTAGTGGTTATAGGTGCTGGATTTCCACATGGCTGACCGCAGTTCAAGTCCCAAACCTTTCCCTTTATCTTTCTCTCTGTCTCTCTCTGGTCAAATTTAAAAAAATAATAATAGCAAATGAAATTAAATAAATTTTTAAAAAAGAAATTAATGCAAAAAATCAAATTTAGTCTTGCATACCAATTAAAACCCTGAAAGTAAATTTAATATTTTACTATTCTCAGGTATCTATTTCTTCTATGAAAGTTATTCAAACTTTATACTATTCACAAATGCCATTTCTCATTAAAAACAAACTTTAATTTACTTTTTAACCTAGTAAGGACATAAAGTCTTTCTCTCTCTCTCAGTTCTTGATTTCTACAGACCTGGAATAAATATTAAGTATCTAAGCAGCACAGAATTCTGTTTAATGTGTCTATATACATATTTCTACTTTTAAAATTTATTTATTCCTTCATGTCAAAGGCTAACTCTAATTTTCTAAGATTAAGCACTCTTGGTTAAAATTCCTTAATACAAAGGTTAGAGTAAAACTGTCAAGATCATCAAAAACAAGGAAAGTTCTGAAAGACTGTTACAACCCAAAGAAGCTTAAGAAATGGTACAACTAAATATAATGTGACATCTATATGGGGTCCTGGAATAGAAAAAGGACATCACAATAAATAAATAAATAAATAAATAACCATAAGGAAATCTGACTACGGATGTAGTTAACAAAAGTGTATCTAATTGTAACAAATATAAAATGCTGATATAAGATGTTAACAAGGGAAATTCAGTATGAGTGTATATGAGAATTCTTTGTACTATCATCATCATTTTTCTGTAAATCTAAAACTAATTTTAAAAAATAAACTTTACTAAAAGGGTGGCAGTCAGTTTAGAGGAACTAATTGTCCAGTAAGCATGATATTCCTTTTAGTGTTAAACCTGAATTCAATACTAGCCTGAAAATTTACAATATATAATCTCAGTACAGTATACATCATTAAGAACTCAGTAATAAAAAAAGTTTTCAAAGATGCCTGCTACACATGAATCAAAGTTCTGTTTCAGTAATAATGCAAGAGATCTGGCAAAATAAGGACACAAACAGATTCATTTTGGAGAACAGATCCTTTCACAGGATACCTATGAACACATATACAACTTTTAATACATCCCCCCCTCCACTTACTATTGTTTAAACTAAGAAACAAGCTAAATTCAAAAAACAAAATTTGGGAGAGAATGAAAAGAAGAAAGGAAGGAAGAAAGGAAATTAGTTTATCCAAAAAAAATGAAGACGGGGCCAGCAGGTGGTGTGGTAGAAAGGGCGCTGGACTCCCATATGGCCAACCGCAGTTTAGGTGCTGGACCTGGCAGCTTGCTTTCTCACTTTCCTTCTTTCTCTCACTCTGTCTCTCCCTCGTCAAATTAAAGTAACTAACTAAATAAATAAAAAGTTAAATGAAATAATTCTTAAAAAAATAATTAAATAAATTAAAATGAAGACAACCTCAAACTCACAAAAGAATGTAAACAAAATTGAATGCAAAATTACCTATAAAAATAATAGGAAACTAAAGGCTATTCAACAGAATTAAAGTAAACAACAAAACTAAAGTATAATTCTCAAAACATGGAATAAAGTTGGGATATAGTTTAGAATTTTACAAGTTTTTTTTTTTTAATTCTAAACAGCAATTAATTACTATACCTGGAAGAAGGAGGAATAGTAGAATAGTATACCTCAAAGAAATATTTTTCAAAAGAAAAAAGAATTGGTTACAAGCTTCTTAAGGTCAATAACCCTGTTATAGCCATCTTTTTATTTCCCATGGTGTCTGCATATAACAGTTATCCAACATATTTTTCAAATGAATGATTCATTTATATTATAGCTAAATGTTAAATCTTCCTGAAAGAATATCCAAAAGGAAAACCACAGGAATCTAAAGCAGAGAGACCAGCAATGTTTTTTCTATAATTACAATATGACATCAGAAGGAAAAAATGTATTTGGGTTTCAAACGTTTCTAAGGAAAGATAAGTTTAGATTCTTAAAATAACTTACATTGCCTAAATCATAATACTTAAGAACACTATCAAGAGTATCGTAAGTATTCTTTTTTCAATAAGACAGCAAAAAAATACAGATTAAAAAAAAGTAACAACAGCTTTCTCAAAATACTACATTTTAAGAATATATTCATTAAGGTTATTTTTAAGGTACTTTCTATATATTGTAAAAAGATTATGATAGCCTAACAGATAAACATATCCATCAACTCATACAGTTGCCTTTTTGTATGTGAGTGGTGATAACATCTACTCTCAGCAAACTTCTAGCATACAATACAACAGTATTACTATCACCACCACACTGTATTAGATCTCTAGAAGCAAGTCATCTACATAACTGAAATTTTGTACTCTTTGACCAAAATTTCCTTATTTCCCCCACCCCTGGAAATGACCATTCTAATCTGCTTCTATGACTTCAAATAAAAATGTTTTTGAAAAGTCAATACCAGTTAATACAAAATGCTTTAGAAATTATAGAAACCTGGTCTATAGGCCAAAGAACATTTTTTAGATAATTGCTAAATAGAAGTATGAATTACATAAAAATTTAAGCATTATGAAAGGAGGGTTTTCATTACAAATACATGTATTTGTATATGTATAATTTGTATGTATATTCATATGTATTTATATTTTATATATTTTATGTTTATTTTTTATATGTATATGTTTTAATGATGCTAAACTTTTTTTTTTTTTTTTTTTGGAGAGATTTTCACTGTAGGGCGCGTGCGCTCGCCAGACAGAGAGAGACATAGAGACAGAAAGCGAGAAATCACCCCCCAGGGGGGATGGTCACGCCACAATCCCTTCTCCTCCATTCTCCTCTCGGGATCTTGGGCACGCACGCACACGCGCCCGGCGTGAGTTTTAAGCCACCGGGTCCAGGACATGAACCGCGGTCGACTACGTGGGAGTCCAGCGACATAGCCATTACGCTAACTGCTGGTTCCCAATGATGCTAAACTTTTATCAAAAGAACAGACCTTTAAAAAAAGACTAATATTTTTATAAAATCCAATATCCTACTTATGGAAGATTAGGAGGTGAAAAGATTTGTCCATATAGTCCTGCTAATCATAAAGCCTAAAACTTTTATTATTTATTTAATATCCATAGTCTTTGTGGATATTTATAAAATAATTTACTTTTCTTTTTATAGAGAATTCTTTATTTAACTATTTATTTATTAATTCATTTATTTTAACTTGACCAGAGAGAGGCAGAGAGAATGAGAGAGAGAGAGAGAGAAAGTGAGAAAGCAAGCCACTAGGTCCGGGACGCGAACCGTAGTTGGCCATGGGGGAGTGTCCAGCACCTTAATCACGATGCCACCTGCTGGTCCCTATAAAAGAATTCACTTTTCTAAATTCAGCCTGACTTTATGAACTAGGATATAATGTTAATGAGTAGCATAACAGAAGTTAGATTTTTAAAGTAGTATATTCTATGTCCCAACAAAAGCCTGATAAAATACATTACTAAAATCTAGAGAAAAGAACAAAGATGAAAGTCAATGAGAATTCAAACATATCTTTTCACATGCCAGTCTTGGTAGTATTTCATATAACCACTTAAAATAATGACTTTTTATTTATATAGTATTTAATGATATAACAATAGTGCCTTCACTAATAATATGGCAATGTAACCTGAAAAAGAAAGAATTAATGTTACTATATAATCATAATTCACATTTTATTTTATGTAATTTCTAAATTATTTTATTCTCTTCCTAAATAAAATTTATTTTAAAATAAATTTCAAATGTGACAGACGTCTTCATTACAGTCATCAAATAAAAATTTAAAAATTGTAAGAATTTTGATAATAACATATTCCAAAAGATTATTATTTGACGGTAAAAAAAATCTGCAAACTATAGGTGAAATTATCTGAACTTCAAAAGACTACAAAACCTATTATATACTTAATTTTAACAGGTATTTGATATCCTAACTGATCAAGATATTACCACATAATCAAAGTGAAATACAACTATTATCATCTACCTCAAGTCATTTCCCAAATTACCACATGAAAATTAACATAAAAGCATTCTACATAAGTTTTTACACACCTCCAACACACTTTGAACTCACTTGGGTAAATATGGATCTTTCCAACAGCGGCAGCAGTTTCTACAAAGTTATTTACCTTGTCCAGGTCTTGCAGTTACAGCTGCTCCAGCAGATGGCGGCTCAAACTCCTGTCAATTACAATAAGGTTATTACAGTGACCTGTGACACAAGCCATTTATAATAAAGTGGTAGTGATATCACAGTCTTACCTTTGCTTTCTTTGAGTCTGGATCAAACCTTTCAAGAATTAATTTAGCTGTCTTATAAGTTTCTTTTTCCATGACTTCTTCGAGCTACAAACAAAAATTTCCATAAATTATCACATTTTAAAACACATACTACTTACTTTTATAAATCCTATTCAAAAAGTATTCAATTACAACGCTTAAAATAAACAATGCATAATACAACCAGGAAGAATGAAAGACTTCCTACAATCAAATAATTAAAACCCAGATTTTAAATGACTTCTAACCTCTAATATGTTAGTTGTATTTAACAGCTTTACTACAAGGAAATACCAAATATTGCTAATTGTTTACATATAATGAGGAGAATAATTACATGCACCAGCTTCAATAATGGAATGTGCAAAAATCTATCAGCCATCATTATTGGAAGTTATTAGACATGACAAGCAAATGACAGGCAATTCCTCAGATTTATTTCCTCATAGCACTTAATGCTATTAATTTAAAGAAGGTCGTTAGCCAAGAGCTTTACAAAATAAAATCTCTGTGCCAATTAACTGCTGTCAGCATCGATTTTAGATTATTTATTAGCAGAAGCAATTAGCTTGCTGCAAATGCAGTGAAAACTCACTAACTGGGAGAACAGCCACAGAATTTACTCAAATTACTTTAAAAGCTAACTCCCACCCCGTTTTTACTTAGATTCCAACAACTTCAGAGGAAACAACTGAACACAGAATTTAAGTAAAAATTTTATTGAATTCTATGTTCACACTAGGAACTATAATTAAAACAGTTCATTATTTGAGCATTTTATTTACAATGCACTCAAGTCACGTTATAGCTTAATACATGGGTTTAAGTTAAAAAGTAATCACTAGTAAAAAAAAAAAATCATTTTAGCAGGTATGGACCAATATCAGAAGAAGGTGAACTTTGGCGCAAGACAGTCATAGTTATGACAAATGCCTAATGTGTAAGTTACATACTTCAGCAAAATTTAGAACAGGACCTTTTTTATGTCAGCAACCAATGAGAGCCACTTAGATTCATTAAATGTCACTCATTTCAAAGGACACTTATTTAAAAATGCAACCCAAGCACACTTACTGAGTTAAATATACAGTTAAAAATAAGTTGCTGGCCCAGTTAACATGGCGCAGGCAACAGGGTGCCACTGCACCACACCGGAGTCACATGGGGAGACTCAAGACTCGGGTTTGGGTCAGGGTTGACCTAAACACACCAAACACACCCACACATGCCTGTGATCCTGGCTGGAGGGAGAATTACAGTATGGTGAGACCCTGTTGAGGGGGTACCTATCTCCATCTTTAATTCTTTCTCATGAAATACATAAACTCAAGTATTTAATAAGAAAGCACTTAAGAAACTAAAGACTTAATAAAACTAGAATATATTCTTAAGTATTTCAAAATTAAGATAAATTCTCAAAATAGGCAAGTTGAACTTTTTCATGTAAAGAAAATATTTGTAGTGTCACTTTAGAGTTGGGGAAAAAACTAGGAGTGGGGGTAAAGAGGAGTGATAGAATAAGCCCCCTAATCAGCATCATCTATGTGGAATATCAAAGAACTGAATCCCTGAGCTCTATAAACTATTGGGTTATCAAGGAAGTCATGACACATTTTTGCATAGAAAATTATTGTAATTGACCTTAGAGATGCTTGATGCTTCAGACAGGTGTTGTGCAACAGAACTTTATACAATGATGGGAATGGTTTATGTTAGCATAATAGTGCTTGTGCAACTGAGAAACTAAATTTGTAGTTTCATTTCATTTTTATGCATGCAGGGCCAGATAGTGGTACAACGGTGACACAACTGGACCCAGGCAGGAATCTCCCTGGTTTGCATCCTAAGGCCTCCATGAGCATCCCAGCTGTGCATATCTCTATAGTTTGGACTGGCAGAGGCTGGAAGTGCATTGTGGCTAGGGGACATTGCTATACCTTTCTCTCTCTCTCTGTTTCTCATGAAATAAATAAGTGAACCTTTTTTTAAAAATGTAAATAGTCACATGGAGCTAATGACTACTGATTTGTACAACATAATTCTAGACAGAGACTACTGCAAGTTTAAAAGAAGATTAGGTTCAACTGCAATCTTTAAAACAATACACGAGGAGCCAGCAGGTGGCAAGATGGTTAAGACACTAGACTTGTACAAGGTAGACCATGGTTTGAGTCCCAGACCTGGTCTTTCTCTTTCTCTCTCTCTCTGTCTCTGGTAAGCACACATGCCCTATAGTAAACTTTTTAAAATAATAATAGTAAATAAAAATATTTATTTTAATTTGACTAGAGAGAGACAAGAAAGAGAGGGAAAGTGAGAAAGCAAATTGCTAGGTCCAGGACTCAAACCATAGTCGGTCATGTGCACATCCAAAGCCTTAACCACAATGCCACCTGCCAGCCCCAAAATATTTGTTTAAGGTTTTTTGGGGTTTTTTTAACTGTATGTATGTATTTATTTATTTATTTATTTATTTATTTATTTATTTATTTATTTATTTATTTATTTATTTTTAATTTGATCACAGAGGGACAGAGTGAGAGAGAGAGACACAGAAAGTGAGAAAGCATGCTGCCAGGAGTAAGCTGCCAGATTTGGGACTTGAACTATGGCTGGCCATGTGGGAGCCCAGCGCCCTTAACCACCACGCCATCTGTTGACCTCCTTAAATAATTCTTCAAAAAAGTACACAAAACTCAAAACCAAAATGTGGTTTCCATCAAATGATGAAAAATTCCCGGTAGATTATTTAGCAAACATTTGTAGGTGTGTTTATTTATTTATCTAAAACAATATCATTTTAAAAGCACTAAAAAGTACCAATTTGGGAACCAGCAGTTAGCTTAATGGCTATGTCGACTGCAGTTCGCGTCCTGGACCCGGTGGCTTAAAACTCACACCGGGCGAGTGTGCGTGCATGCCCAAGATCCTGAGAGGAGAATGGAGGAGAAGGGATTGCGGCGTGACCATCCCCCCTGGGGGTGATTTCTCGCTTTCTGTCTCTATGTCTCTCTCTGTCTGTCTGGCGAGCGCACACGCCCTATAGCAAAAACCTCTCCAAAAAAAAAAGAAAAGTACCAATTCATTCTCCCTTTCTTTTTATCAAGAATTATTTATCTAATTTTATTTATTATTATTATTTAATTGGCCATAGGACATGTGTGACCACCAGAGAGAGAAAGTGAGAAAGCAAGTCACCAGGGCCAAGACTTGAACCGCAATCAGCCATGTGAGAGTGTAGTGCCTCAGCCACCAAACCACCTATTGGCCCCCATTATCCCTTTTTTTATGCATTTATTTCTAACAAAATACTTTCATATAATAGCTTAGTTATACATTTACCACATTTACCCATATAGCATTCTAAGTAAAAACATGTTTTAAATAGTGGAAAAAACATGAACTTGTATCTTTGAACTAAAAGAAGATCTGCGTTCAAAGCACATTTCTATTTTTAATTAGAAAGACTTTGAGCAAGTTTGTTAAAATCAGCTTTCTTTTTTAGAGAGAGAGATTTTTGCTATAGGGAGTGTGGACTCAGCACTCACTGGACAGAGACAGAAAGCAAGAAATCACCCCCCAGGGGAGATGGTCACACCACAATCCCAAACTCCTCTCAGGATCTTAGGCACTCACACACATATGCCTGGAACCTGGAACCTGTTTCAAGCTGCCAGGTCCAGGATTCAAACTACGGTCAACTATGTGAGACTCTAGCAACATAACCATTATGCCATCTACTGGTTCCCAAAATCAGTGTCTCCTTTTATAAGACAGATTATTTTCATAATACTGTTGTACAATTTAAATAAAATAATGTAAGAGAGGGACCAGCAGTTAGCATAATAGCTATGTTGCTGAACTCCCATGTGGTCAAATGTGGTTCAAGTCCCGGACCTGGTGGCTTAAACTCACGCCAGGCGCATGTGCGTGCATGTCCAAGATCCCGAGAGGAGAATGGAGGAGAAGCTACTGCAGCATGGCCACCCCCCCCGGGGGGTGATTTCTCGCTTTCTGTCTCTGTCTCTCTGGCAAGCGTATGCGCCCTATAGCTAAAACGCCTCCAAAAAAAAAAAAAATATATAGGAGAAAGAGTCCACAATAATGATCAAAGCATTAACACATAATTTTCAGTGAACCTTGATAATTCAGGTCTGAAACAAATGGTGTTTCCAAATACTCAATATATTGATCTCAGGATTTAGAAATGAGAAATTGGAATTCTTGAGAATTCCCTAAAGCATGTTATTCTGCATATTTTTTCTTTATTTTTCATAATATTATAATTATAATGAGTAATATGTGATATAGCATAAAAGTTTTAGTGACTCTATTTTAAAATATAAAAATAATACATGGTTTATTATGAATCAACATTACTCTGAAAAGATTGTATATTTTAATCATGTGGAAAAAATATTTCTATTGATATAGCCATTTTTCATAGAAAAAAACAATAACACAAAATAGATATCAAAAATGTCTTTTATATTTTTAAAGATAATCCTATAAATATTCATATTAAAATTATTATTCTTGACTGATAATTTAAAACATAAAAGTATTAGATACCCTAATTAATATTCTTATCTTTGGTTCACAAAAAATATTCCAGATATGGAAAACTTTCCTTTATTTTGCATTGACTTTGTTCAAATTAATTAAGAATGCATCCAAAAGCATCTTCGATTCAGAGCATTAGGGAACATGTTACATCATATAAATTCATCCTTGTATAATGATGAAAAAATATTGTCTGCTTACCCTGATATTGGTTTTGCAGTTTAAACTGATAATATTCTTATTAGTTCAGATTTTTTTATCATTTTCTGATTTCATATAGAAGTGTTCCATAATAATAGTCACATCTTTCCTTTTCTTTCTTCTGTTACTCTGTAGTCTATAGTAAATAGTCAAACACTGGAAAATGCCAGTGACTATTATTGCATATATAAAAAGATAACACTTAAAACTTCTAGTGAAGTTAACAGCCCCACACAGAATCACATGCTGAAACTGCCAATTTAAGGACTTCTTTTGCTTCCAATACTTCATTCATAGGGTTTGCATATGCCATGTGTATAAATTTATTAGTACTTATGTGCAAGAATGACTCATCATTAATATGACAGAGTCATAAAAGAACACTCAGAGCCCCAAAAACAAGACTGGCTGATTAAGTAGTACACCTTTTCTCCTACATGCTCCTATCCTGCTCCCTGAAATACCAATGTTAATCTGCAGTTTGGCATGTCAGCGTTTCTTGCTTTTGCTTTCAGTGGACAGTAGTTTGAATCAGTAACATCTTTGGCTCATTGCTAAGTTTTAATTCTCATAAAACTGTGACACTCTTCACCATGTTCCCAATTTCACAACTGATTTTTCAGAATTTTCTGAAAAATACCAGAAAATAATTACCATACAGAAATATTATTCTAGAAAACAGCACAGCATTTTCATGACACTACTTAAAGAGATAATTTTGACTCATGTGTTTTGATGAAACTAATTTTGAACTGTTTTGAAGGAATGCTTATGGATATAGGGAGCTTATCCCACAGAATACTCAATAATTTAAAAAGAAAACTAAAGATTTTCTTAAAAGACTACAAAATACCTGAGCGGCAAAACTTAGACATCCAGATAGAATTTTTTAAATATCCTAATATTAATTTTTAGCTTTCTTTTAAGAATTAAATATTTAACATTAAGCTCTTAAAATTTAAAACCTTATTAAGCTACTCATTTTCTTAAGTAATTTAATTTTTATCAATTGATAATTCATATTCATCATTATGAATTATAGTAAAAATCTATTCAGATTAAAGAGATGCATCCCTAAGAAAACCACCTTTAATAAAATGTCAAGTAATAGGGCCAGCTGGTGGTGAGGTGGTTAAAGGCATTGGACTCCCACATGGCCCACTGTATTTTGGGTCCCGAACCTGGAGTCTTGCTTTCTCACATTCCCTCTCTCTGTCTCTCTCTGATCAAACTGTAAAATAATAATAATAACAATAACAATAAATTTTAAAAGTTAAATAATTTTTAACTAAATAAATAAATATCAAGTAAAAAATATAACTTGCATTAATTTTGTTAATGAAAGAGAAGAGTTGGCTCTTGGATAATTTTAGACTGATAAGGGCTAATTTTCCTGTGGCCATTTCAATGACAAAAATATTTATAAAACTATAATTATAGTGCTAACCCTAAGCATCAGTGAACAAAATCAGTTTCAATTATATTTAGCTTTTGCTCAGAAATAATATCCCTTCTTTTGCCTCTTACTACTAGCATGATCATTAGTTAGCATTGTGCTTCTTATAATTCATCCTTTACACCTACTGTTCCAAAGTGTAAAGCTACTCAAACAAAGTGGCCCTGTTGAGGGCTTGAGCAGTAAAGACCAGGGACTAATTCCAGTGGTAATAGTAATACAACCAACAACTAAATCAATGTAAATTGTGATCTCTAATTAATAAAATAAGTTGGAGCCCACTTGTTTTTTTCTTTAGTCATATTGGTAGAGAAATGCCATACTGAACTACCCTGTAATATTGATGATTCATGAGCAATTCAGACTCACAGAGCTACAGAACTCTAAATTGAATTTTCCAACTTTTGTCAGACTCAGATGAAGCATCTTTTATGTCATGATTCCTTCAAAGAATATTAAAGAAATAGTAAATAGTTTGCTTGCCCTTTTACAAAATTTTCCAAGTCTGCTCTGTTACTCTAGTGAGAGATTTTGCCCAGTTACATGATCTTCAAAATTCTATTTTCTGATTGCATAATGTCACTGACACTGTGCTGTTTCTCCATCGCTTTTTTTTTTTTTTGCCTTTCCTGTCTTTTCTTCTTTAGTCAGTATTTTTTCCAATTTTGATACAAGCAGGGCTTGACTCTGATCATCATTACCAGTTCTTTTCATCGCAACAAACCAAAATGAACATATCACAACTTCTCTATCACTTAGATCATCAGAATTGCCTTACTTTATATTTTTTGCTGTTCCATGATGTGCAGAATGGCAGAAATATAATAAGTGATAAAGAGCATATTTCTATGTTTCAAGTTAGGCATATCAAAATTGTCAATATTTGACAATTGATAAATACCTCAAAAAACACTGATAGGGAATCCTTTCAGAATTTTTTTTTTTTTTTTTACTTTTCAAGTATTTAAAACCCTGAAAAAAATGACCAATTCTTAATCTTCAAAATTTTATTAGTTTTATATGTAATTATTGTTACATAGACTTAAATACATTCATTTAATAATATGCACCAGATTAAATGTTATTAAATAAGTTTCCATATAACATGCATATTATTAGCAATTACCATTTTAACACTTCAAAAATAATCGCATAAAAATATGTAAATCTAAGTCAAACTCTAAGTTCAATTTACTTATTAAAGACTATTACACAACAATTTCTAAACATCTAGGACCCTTCCTAAATTACTCTTGGCCCTTATTCCAACATAACCTATGGATGCATTTAACTGTCCCCACAAGAGATATCCAAGTGATCAGGGCTGCTAACAGAAAATAGAAGACATTGAAAGAAAAAAGTACCTGTTTCTCACCCCCTTTCTCCAGTCTTTCCATGTTGAATTTATCTCTTACAACCAATCTTTTTGATTCCCTCTCTCTTGGCCTTATTGGTGTCAACAAAATCTGATAACTGACCTAGGTAGGTGTTTGGTCCTGTAGGGCTCTAATAAACAATCTACACATCCACCTCTTACCCTCTCTGTCTCATTTAGTCCTTCAATATGATTCATTTACTAACTTCTCAGCTTTCAAGTGACACATTCTCAGAACCTTGAAAGTCCACCTAAACTACTTTTTACTGTCAATCATAATATTAACTAGCAAAAATATTTATAAATTAGCTTCATCACTAAAATGCTAACTAAAAGCATACTTGTTCCTTTAAGTTTTCAACTTATAACATAAATATTTATTATTCCATTCATAACATTACTTTTACATAAATTAAGTTTAAATAAAAATTAACTTACTATTTTTTTCTTCTGGGATTTTAAATCATCCAGTGCTTCATCTAAAGAACAAGATTTAAATGAAAGCTAAATCAGATATTAAAACACTTATATACAAGAAAAAATCATGCCAAAGTGATATACATTAAGCAACTGCAAAAAAAATTTCTCATTTTAAGATTTCTCTAAATTTAATTCATTTATAAAGATAAAAATTATTTCAATCTTTAACCATCTAAGAAAAAAATCTTTACCCATCTATGCTTCAAATTTTTGCCTGCAGTGTATATTACAAGCAATTTAGGGAAAAATAAATGGGCTTTATAAAGCCTAAAACACCTTTCAAAATTTTAAAAGAAAGATGAATTTTTAAAATATTTTTGGAACTACTTGCTATTATTTCTATTTCCTTCCAACATCCTACGCATATTAATTTATAAACTATCAAAGTTCTTTTTATAGACTGTTAATAAAAAATGTTCTTGTTTATAAATAAAGTGGAAACATGTTTTTTTTTAAGTTAGCCAATCTTGAAGACATTGAGCACTAATAAAGAAACCCTTATGAAAATCTATATTATTATACCTAGGGAGGAACTTAGAAGGTAATACTAATAACTTCTCAAAATTAAACAGTTCTAAGATTTGCCTGCTTATTTAGACCGGCATGGTGAAATAGGAAGAAACATTTCAAATTATATAATTTATGAATATCAACGTCTACTTTACAAATTTGCTTAGGTTTCTAAGTTTTTCTCTAGAAATTTTTAACTAGCACAAAGAGAAATACTATTCCATATGGAAAAAGAATTACAACTTGAGTTAAACATGTTATCAAATTGAATTTAAACAATTATTCTTGATTTTCAATTAAATAAAAGTATTGCATCTTCACTGAAATTTTGGGTATTAAATACCTGAATACCCAATTTGAAATGTATTATTTATGTAAAAATATAAAGAAACATAAACATAAAAAGATAATTTTCTTATAAATTTTTTCCAAAATATATTAAGTAATCCTTAATATGCTAGCAAACTTACTACTTTGGGATGGGGGGTGGAACTACAGACATCTTTAATAAAGTATAGTAACTTTTGGGTAAATAAGACACCATCAAACAATTATCCTTTAATGTAGGAGTTAGCAATTTTTTTCTGTAAAGGGCCAGATAGTAAATATTTTAGGCTTTATGGACAAAAAGCAAAATCAAGTCTATGCTTTTAAAGCAAAAGAGAGAAAACATTTCCACAAACCTTTTGATAAAATTCAAATATAATAATAATACATGGGGGGGGTTGTAATACAGGTCTACAAATGAAAAGAATAGAAAATTTGTGAGTAAGAGATAATATTAATTGAGGTTCAAAGTTAGTGATCTCTAACAACAAAATGAATTTTAATTGATAATCTCTTAATGCTGATCTGTAATGACATTTTATACTTCTGGTTTTTGAAAATGTCTTTTCATACAGGTAGATACTGCCCAATACTGGTATTAGTCCATAAGCATGTGATTTTAATTGAGCATATTTACTGTTTGGACAGCATTTATAAAATTCTATTAGGTTCTTTTTTTGATATTTGCCTTATAATTTATCATTACAATGCAAATTAATCACTTCCAGCTGAAGATTAGTAGGAGCTCTTCAATTATACAGTTAAATAAAGTTAGAAGTATGGGAAATTTCTTTTGCACTTTCATTGAGGTCTGAAAAATGCTGCTAGTTGTTTCAGCACCGATAATCCACCTACAGCATATTTGTATCAGATCTTGCTTCTTGTTTTAACTTTCCAGAGCACTTTGCTAAAAATTACTTTTTTCTTTACACTGTTATTTGTTTCTTAACTGATTTTACTACATTATAGTTTTTAAATAGTGTGTTCGCTATAGGGCACATGCGCTCGCAAGACAGACAGAGACATAGAGACAGAAAGCAAGAAATCACCCCCCAGGGGGGATGGTCATGCCGCAATCCCTTCTCCTCCAGTCTCCTCTTGGGATCTTGGGCACGCACGTACACGCTCCCGGCGTGAGTTTTAAGCCACCAGGTCCGGGACACAAACCGCGGTCAGCTACGTGGGAGTCCAGCAACATAGCCATTACACTAACTGCTGGTTCCCTTGCCTGGCAATCTCAGGTTGAATTCATTAAGAACCATTATCAAGTTTGCAGCAAAAACTACTTTCTAAGCTCAGTCACTATGTAATTACTATCATTCAGAAGTTATTGTAAGCTGACTTCTTAGTTCAAAATATCACAATAAACTTTTACCACTGCTAAGTCAAACTGCTGGTAGGAAAAGTCAAGATATCTAGATTCTACTTATAATAGATCACATAACTGACAATGGTTCAGTCCATGACAGTAAATGAAGTTTCCCTTGACACTCGTTTTAATAACACAATGAAAGATTTGAATATGCTCTGTAAAGTACTGACTGTTGAATAATACAACGAATAACCATAGAATTTAACACCTTCCAGTTTCAGGAGCTCTGCAAATCTGTCCAACTAAGCCTTTTTCTGCTACACATATTTTACTACCAATAGTTTTAATGCATCTTAGCAGATTCCACTTCAGGTTGTACTGAATAAGTGTTTTCTCAATTGCCTTAAAAATACTATTGTTGGAAGTTGTTCCACACAGAATTTTTGTAAAGACTAATTCTTCAGTCACTTTCAGCTAAAGCTGATGCCTAAAAAAACAAACAATTAAGCAGTATCAGTAACATCTGTCAACTCATTAAGGGCCAAGAAGGATAATTTGAAATCATCTGCCTTGTTTTTTAATTAAGTATTGATGTTGCTCGCAATTTTCTCAATTCTTCAAGCAGCTATTCTTACTGAAAGGCTACCAGATTGAGGTATACTTTCTCTGAACACATTTATTTTGCTGGTGCAATCAAACACAATTTAATTACCTCACCACTGGTAAATGGCTTTTCTTTTTCCACAAATAAGCCACTTATAATTTACTTTGGCTGCTAGACTTCCAAAATATTCATACAATAAGCCATTTTAAAGCTGAGGTGTGTCCTGGCGTGTTCAGGAAAGCTGTGCTCTAAACCCATCTCCTAGACTTCCAAAATATTCAGACAAGGAAAAAGAACAATCCCTCATCATTCACAGACAGTACAGTAGAATTCATGGAAATTACCTGATAGAGACTTCAGAACATTCATAGTGACAAAACTAAATGAGATGCAAGAGCTGAGAAATAATGAACTCCAGACACTGCAGGAGAAAAGAGACAACAAGGTCCAGAAGGTGTTGAAGTTCTTTCATGATCTGAAAGTGGAAATACACACCACAAAAAAGAATCAAATAGGGGGCTGGCAGGTGGTGTGGTGGTTAAGGATGCTGGACTCCCCCATGACCACATGACAAACCACAGTTCAAGTCCTAGACCTTGTGGCTTCCTTTCTTACTTTTCCTCTTTCTTACTTGGTCCCTTTCTGATCAAATTTAAATAAATAAATAATAAGGTTTTTTTTTAAAAAAGAATCAAATGGAGATATTAGAGATGAAGGCTGCCATTCAGGAAATCAAAACCTCCCTTCAAAGTATCAAAAACAGATTAGTCCATGCAGAAAATTGAATCTTGGATGTTGAAGGTAAAACCTCTGATCTAGAAAAAAACAAAAAAACTGAGAAAATAACCCAAAAAAATGAGAATACTAAATGAGAAATACAAGATAGCATTAAGCACCCAAACATTTGAATAATCAGTATCCCAGGAGGTGAGGACACTAATAAGGACACTGATAATCTATTCCATAAAATCTTGAAAGAAAACTTTCCAAAGCTAGAGATGCATTCAAATATCCAGACTCAAGAAATACAAAGGGCCCCTAATAAAATCAACCCAAGAAGATCTTCTCCAAGGCACATAGACAGACTGGTCAAATCTACAGACAAAGAAAAGATACTAAAATTGGCAAGAGAGAAAGGTCATATACTTATAAAGGTTATCCCATCAGGCTAACCACAGATCTCTCATCAGAAACAATGTGAGCAAGGAAAGAATAGGACCATATATTCCAAGTGTTAAGTGAAAAACAGTTTCAACCAAGAATACTGCACCCAGCAAGATTATCTTTCATCTGGAAAGAAAGAATAAAAACATTCTCAGATAAACAAGACCTGAAAGAATTTGCCAGTAGCAGACCAACTCTTCAAGAAGTTTTGAAAGGAGTGCTCTACCAGGAAAACTAAAGACACATACAGAAATAAGAGAACAAAAGGCAACCAAGAAAACGACCAATTTAATACTAGGGACAAGAAATATCAGTAACAACGTTGAATGTTAACTTCTAGGATTTAAACAGAAAGATTGGACCACAGCAACATTGTATATTCAACAAGAAGGAGTTTGAACATAAGACTGAACTGGAGAAATAGAATTTTATAGAGAAATAGAATTTTATAACTTTTGAGTAAAACATTGCTGATTTTTTTAACTATGCTTTGTTTTCCCAATTTAAACATTTTACTTTATTTTGAGTTGTTGACAGGTTGAGCAATTTGTTAAAATATTTTTCTTGTTTCTTTAAATGGAAATACAAACTTTTCTTCCTTCCTGACCCCTCTTGAGTTGAAAATATTTGGGAGTATTCTTATTTTGTGGCAGAAGGGTTATTTGTGTAAGTTCAATAATGCCTGTTGCATTGAATCAGAAATTAGAATACTCATTATTGGACAGGGCTTTGACTGGAATGTCATATCTGAAGATCAATCAGGAAACTATGGAACTAAGGTGGATCTCAAGTAAGCCAACAGAAGTTCTTAGAAAGATGGCCTGGCACCATAAATAGTTCTGCCTGGCAGAGAGGATTAGAGAAGCTATATGAATTTATAATATAAAATAACCTGGACTTTTCCAACCCAGCATTGTAACCAGTAGAGTGTGCAAAAGAGCACCCACACCAGAGGATTATCTTGAAAAAGACTTTGAAGGAAGAAAAAGAGACCGATATTTGCTAGCAGATGGTATATCACAGAATACTTGGTAGGCAGGGCTGAATTAAGAAGGTTTATGTGTGACTAGTGTGCTGGGCAT